GGGTTATTTACTTATATATACTTTGTACATTTGAGAAACTATTTATATATATCCTAAGCTTTCGAAAACAACTTATACATATCATATTGACCTTTCAAACATAAACTCCAACTGATAAGACTTAGGGACTAAATTGTCCTTAACTGTTTATTAAAATTTCAAAGCATGCCATTCTCTCCTCTCTTTTTCTTCTAATTTTTCTTCCTTTCCTTCTTCCTCTCTATCTTTTTATTCTTCTCTGCGCTACAAAAGTTGGAACGTCTACTTACATATACCCTAAGCTTTCAAAAACAACTTATACATATCGTATTGACCTTTCAAACATCAACTCCAACCCATAAGACTCTTAAGGGACTAAATTGTCTTTATTTGATCATTAGTTTTCAAATAAAGAATCCAGCTATGTATTGGATTAAACAAAAGTAGACATGTAAACTCTAGAATGTAAGCAATCCAACAATGAATCCTCTCTTTTCAAGGAAGCAGAACAATAAAGAAGAGGGGATTAGATAGAGGTGTAAACCGGGTCATGCCGAGTTTGGGGTTTCAGGTCCATGGGTTGGCATGGCACAACATGATTGTGTTGTCGTGCCACCTGTGGCCCGCATGCCGGCACAACACACACACACACACATATATAATAATATAAAATATATAACATATTAATATATATATATATATAACTTTATTTTTAATTTTATTATTGTATATATAAACAATTGTATACATCAAAATTTATATAAAATTAAATTTTAAGGCTTTTTTTAATTTTTAGTCTAATTTGTTAATTTACTTTAAATTTTTATTTTTTAAAAAAGTATACATCTCATGGCTTGGCCTTGTATGCAGCTCAGCTTGGTCTTGTCTGTAGCCCAACTTGGTCCAAGGCTCAACCCGCTGACTAGCCTGGCCTACAGCATGACATGGGCCCATGTGGGCTTGGGCTGTGGACTGTGCTAAGCCGATCCCCCGAAGTATCCCAGCATGACCCGATTTAGACCTCTAGGATTAGATCAAAATAGGTGATAGAGACTGGTTGGCTGGGGCTACAGAAATGCTAGAGTCAACCCACTTATTCAACTTTGTTAATCGTTTCAATGTTTTTTGACTTTTTTTTTCTATGTGTATTTTTCTAGCCAATGTACATCAAATCTTAGATCATCATTTTTTGGGGTTTCTTGTTCATCTCAGATTGATGATTGTTATTTTTTTGGGGTTTCCTGTTCATCTCAAATTGAAATTGAACAGTTTGGGTTTACAACCACTGAGTTTTCTTATTATGACTCAGGCTGTTACTATAGCTCAGGAAGAGTCGTTCGGTTTTGTTTTGTTTTTTTTTTTGTTTTCAAASGCAGCGTTAGGTATTAACTCTCATTATTTTATTGAATCATATATCAATTAACAATTAATATTAATGAAAAATAAATGTGACAAAAAATAATTACTTTTATTAATGATAAAAATAAGGACTTTTGCAGAAAAAATAACAAAATTTGTTAAAATGACAAAATCGATGATATTTATGAAGTAATAGCCAAATCAGCGATTGGGGAAGAAACCAATTTCTTTTGGACAAAATGGKTCAAAAACAATATAGTAACTCTGAACAACTTGAAACCAAACCTCCGTTTAATCTCTCAAGGCTGAAAACTCATCTCTCCCAAAATGCCAATCACACGGTGTGGTAGGATAAATTCTCAAAGTTTTCTCTATGTTCTTAATGTATTGTGTGGAAGAAGGGTTGAGGGTTCTCTTTGTTTTGTATATATATTTTTTCTTACTGAGTTGTATGGCAAAGGAAGGACTGAGGTTAAGGGTTGAAGGAATGAATGCCTTGTATGTTCTCTTTTAATAAGGGGTAATCATGTCCAACAAGACTTATTTTGTTTTCCATTCACTTATTTGGACATTATTTTGTTAACGTGATTGAATTTTCCAATTTGATATACTTCGTTAATATTTTTGCAAAAATCTTAAAAAATAAATATAAATTTAAAATCAACCGAAAAATATAATCGTTTTACTATCTGATGGCGAATCAACAATTCATATTATTGTAAGTTCAGCAAACCTGTCCAAACAACTAGGTTCTATAGTTCAAAAAATTAAAATAATCAGCAGTCATAATGTAGGACTTAGTTCATCAGCTGCAAACCCAATAAAAAATATCTGGTAGCAAAACCAAGGCAGGTGCACTGGTCTACAGACACTTGCTGCTTCGATCTTATCTTTAATGGAAAAAGGTGCCCGAGAAGTCAAGAGTGTCATTGAAGCCACATCCTTTTTACTCGACTCGGTTTCAAAAACCAACTGAGGGATAGTTCAGTTGGTGTATTGAATAAATTGTTCCAGGGGTGGTATAATTTTGAATCCTTCTATTATCATCTTTGTAAAGAAAGAGCTGTAGTTGTGATGTTAAATACTATTCACTTAAAAGAGTAACGATTCCTATAAAGATGTCAACAATGAATAATACCAAAAAAACTGGGTTTCATAAGAATATAAACATGCTTTAACCTTGTGTACAGAGAAGATCCAGTTAATATTTTGAATGAGTTCATTCAGAGCTTGAATGGGGCCTATTCCAAAGACAAGACATAATGTAACCTCTTAGTAGGGATCTTGATATAGAAATTTCAAAAAGGAAGAGGCTCTTCGTTCCCTGAATCTGAATTGAATGGCAATTTAGTAGTGAATAGGTGAGCATGACACTGAGTCACATAGATGGCCCACCTAGGGTGCAACTTGGGCGGGCCCAGCCTGAGAATGAGAAAAAACTTGGACTGTTGGGGGCCAATAGTCTATGCTGTTGAAAGAATTTATGGGAATGCCACATTATCATGAGAATGGGTAAATTAGTAATTATATATTAATTTATTTTTATTAAAAACCAAAGTATGGGCGTAAATAGGTGAACTGTCCAGAACATGCCCAGCCCAAAAATTATCTCAACAGCCAAAGTTAACCCTGAGAATGAACCAATCCAACTTGAAATTTTACACAGGCTGGACTCAGGCCTAAGAAGTCGGGCTTTTTTATTTTTCAGGTTGGACTTAGGCCTAACCCTCAGATAGCTCGAACCCGGTCTGAGCCCGGYCCAATTATATACATTTATACATATATATGTGTATATATATAAATGTTGCATACATATTTACATATATATTTATATAGATATTTTGTATACATATTTATATACATACATAAATATATATATATATATATATATATATATATATATATATATAGTGGGTTCATTAACCAACCAGAGACTGACCCAGGCCCGAGCCTAACTCGAATGCATTAATTTACATAACGGACTGGACTTGGACTGAAAAAATCGGGCTTAATCTCAGGCTCGGGCCTTAAGCCCAAAATTTAGGGCCGGGCCTGGATTTACCATCTTCTTAACCGACTATCGTCTACCCATATCACATCACTTCAGAGTTTCCTAGCAGAGATGCTAGTCGCTCTTCAAGTATTCATTCAGTTTCAGCCTCGCTCTGCTTCTATCATAGACTCACACTCTATAAATGAAATCGCTATCCGGGATCCAGCTCATCACAATCCGTCTATTAGAGCAAAATATACACTGTATTTGGTGATTATGAGGATCGACTGCGATTCCTCAGGAGTCCTGGCTTACGTCTAAAACCTGCATTAAATGTCTGGGTTTACTTCACCTAGTTGGTCCCCGTCATCAAGATAGCCCAACCCAACTGACGGAGAAATTGAAGTGACCAAGATGATGCCAGCTGGACCACCACCCCACTTTTGGACCGAAATAATTTCTCCATATCGGATATCGGCCCACTACATATAAATAGACAATATAGGTGGTTCCGGTTGGGAGGTTAATTTCCTTTAAAAGAATGAGACAAATCTCGGAACATTGTGGGTGTTTGATTAATTAATTCAGGTTTATGGGCTTGCTCACACATCTTTCTATTGTGGGTTTGTGCTATATTGGACTTATTTATTTTAGTGCCTCCAAGGTCAAATATGATTAAGACCATCGTCAGAAATTGATGTGATGTGAAAATATGGCAACAGATTTTCATTTTTCTTGTATGGAAATCTTCCAAATCCGTGATATACAAGGCATTCGGAACATTATATATGAGACACATTGGTATTGCGCTTCCAAGCCAAGGATTTTGAAATTCTTAGGCTATGTTTAATTTGAAAGAAAAAGGAAGGGAAAGGCAGGGGAAATCTTGTATGATTTTTTTACTTTTTCCTTAAAACCAAACACAAGCTTACGGAATTACGGAATTGGGACAATAAAAGGGATGAAGACCACCCGCCCAAAATTTCAGTTTTATCTTGGGTCGCAGAAAGGCCCCCACCAACTGAYCCACTAGAGCTATTTTAAGACAACGAACAAGATGGAAAGGATGCAGAGTCCTTACTCAGTCCTTTCCATATACATYCATCAGCACCTCTCGACTTCAAGGCTAGCATTACATTTTGTCTCCTACGTCGTTTGCTGTATTGATGGTCCACAGGACCCACATGCACCGAATAATGGGACATATGGGATGCTTGGAGAGCCGTCCGACTACATACAACTATATCCAATACGGGCCCACAAAGAGCCAAGGGATGAATGGACCTAACTACCCGCACCAGCCTAGCCATAGCCAATATCTATTTAGGGAGACAATTTCACTTTAGTGGGTGTCTCAACTTCAAGGGAGGATATAAATATAATAYTAGTAATAACTCTCAAGTCTCCTCAAGTCTCAAGGGATCGTCATTCGTCCACACCACAGTGTCTAGACTCTAGAATGCTTTTTCTTCACTTTAGCTTGCACTTTGATTGGATGGGTCTCTCATTCTTGCCCCCATTCCCCAAGCGAGATAACAAATTTGGTTCATGGCTGACACGACGAAACCGGCGCATTTAAGAATCTCATCAAAATCTAATCTAATGCGGTGTTATCATGCCTATGCCCATGAGCCCATCCATCCAATTCTTCATCATAAATACAAATAAGCCTATTATCCACAAACGCCAACCAGAGCAGAACAGAACAGTACCCCCAACTCAACCACGACTAGCTACGAGATCGAGATGATGTCTGCGTTTTTCATCTCACTCCTTCACATCTCCTTCTTCCTCCTCTTCCAAAAGACCGCCATCACTGCTGCTGCAGCAGCAGCCACCCAATTGAGGCCTGGTTTTTACGCTGAGACGTGCCCGGCAGCCGAATCGATAGTAAGGGATGTAATGGCGAAAACCATGAAGAGAGAAATCAGAAATGCTGCCTCGGTCATGCGCTTGCAGTTCCATGACTGCTTTGTTAATGTATCTCTCACGGCTCTCGCTATATTATTAGAAGTCAACTGCCTTTTCTTCTTCCTTTTTTCATTTTCACTAATCTACAACCACTCAAATTCAGGGCTGCGATGCGTCTCTCTTACTGGATGACACACCCGATATGCTTGGCGAGAAACTCTCTCTTTCTAATATAAACTCGCTGAGATCCTACGAAGTCATCGATGGGGCCAAGGCAGCCTTAGAGCAGGCCTGTCCGGGCGTCGTTTCTTGCGCAGATATCATAATCATGGCTGCAAGAGATGCCGTTGTATTGGTAACAGTAACACACCCATAATTAACTCGAATTATTTCAGTTACCAGCTGCAAGAACTCAATATTCTAGTACTGATTGTTTTAGGTTTTACTTTCCTTTTTGTAATTTCTTTACGAGCCGAGCCGGGATTTTTTATTTTGGTGTTGCAGAGTGGAGGACCCAATTGGGAAGTCAAGCTGGGAAGACTAGATAGCCTAACGGCCAGCCAGGAAGACGCTAACAGGATCATGCCGAGCCCGAGATCAAACGCTAGTTACCTCATCGATCTGTTCAGCCAGTTTAATCTCTCTGTACAGGACCTGGTAGCCCTGTCGGGGTCTCACTCCATCGGCAACGGACGATGCTTCTCTATCGTGTTTCGCCTGTACAACCAGTCGGGAACGGGCAGGCCTGACCCGGCCATGGACCCTGAATACAGAGAGAAGCTGGACCGGCTCTGTCCACTGGGGGGAGACGGCAACGTGACAGGAGACCTTGACGCAACTCCCTACGTATTTGATAACCAGTACTTCAAGGATTTAGTCTCCTTGAGAGGCTTTCTAAATTCCGATCAGACACTTTTCTCGTTGGATGCTCGAACTCGAGAATATGTCCAACATTTTAGCCGGGACCAAGAGGTGTTCTTCGCGGCCTTCGTGGAGGGGATGATAAAGATGGGTGACCTACAGTCGGGCCGACCGGGGGAGGTCCGGAAGAACTGCCGGAAGGTCAACAGCCCGCCTCTTCATGCCTTGCTTAAGTGACTCTTGATCGAGATAGGAGGTGGGAGGAATGGGAAAGTAAGTTATTAAAGGAGATTGCGTATACCCAAAGTCAGTAAATTAAGGACGGAAATGTATTGTTTTTGTAAGCTATTGCCTAAATATTATTAAAGAAATCGAAGGAATTTGGCGTGGTAAAAAACACTAAAAAGGGCAGACAATGAGTAAATAATGGGTTACGAATTGGTTTTTTCTGTTGCTTATACTTTATTCAAGTGTTTATCAATCAATTTTCTCCGTCAAATCTTCTTGATTACGATATCGCGATACTGTAGGTTCTCATCGTCAAAATGACATCTTCAAAACGATTGAATGGTTGGTGGATGGGGATATATATTTGTGATGATGTTCGAGTTGAGGTGGATTAACAGGAAGGGAAAGGAAGAGGAGCATTCCGATTTCGACGCTCAAGTCAAATAGTCAATCGAGAATGAGATTGGCATGTCCTTATTAAAATACCTGCGAGGGAGTTATACACTTCACTTTGTGGGACACGTGGTGTCTTGAGATTCCGGGAGTTGGTTTCATACTTATTGCAGGAAGGAGGTTGGACTGGGTCAGCATTTTGCCACGTGTTCTTCCTCCGTGGCGTTCACCATAGTCATCCTCGGATCCACGGTGATTGGTCATGTGCCATACTGTCCTCCATGTTACCCATTCTGAATAGCTCGGCCAAGTGTTGCTTACGTCACATCCACGTGGCAATTCAATTGGAGTGGTTTATGCCCCCATTAATTTGTAAGACGACTTGAGAGGAAGTGAGCAAGTGATCGAGATCCTCTGGAACTGTTTTTTGTGTTTGTTTTTTACTTTCTGTGACGAATCTGCGTGGGAGGAGACAGAAATGGAGGTTAAGTATGGACTGATCAAGAACCCAGAGAAGAGCAAAGGAGCTCTCACATAAACTATTAAACGTTTCAGGCGTTATAGAGGAAATCAAGAATATGTGGTGGGGGTTAAGGGAGAGATATTTTTTGAAAGAGCAAGTGAGAATTTGCTATGGATTTTCTTTACCAGAGAAAATGACRGGAAACAAGTGTTGAGGGATGAGCTATGGATGGTGAAATAATATTCTCTTATTTTGAAAGAATACCCAGATGATATATTACCATCTTAAGTGCAGTTGAACACTATCAATCTGTGGGTAAGAATACTAGACATCCCCATAGGGTATAGAACTAAAGAAACTGGAACTTTATTGGCGCAGGAAGCATGGGAAGTGCTGGAAACAAGGCCTGAAGAAGACAGAAGGAAGAAAAAGAAAGAAGAGTGGAACATGGGGTTGAGGGTTAGAGTGAGGGTTGATATCAGGAAACCATTAATTTGGGTGCTAAAGAACTCTAGAAGATGGAAAGGAGAAATGGTTTCCTTTCCAATATGAGAATCTACCAATCTTCTGCTACAAATGTGAAAGGCTTGGAGATATGGAAAGAGGGTGCTTTGAGGATTTGGATAATACCAAATCAATAGAAATGTTAATTTTAAAGTTGGATGAACAAAGTTTGGATGCGTCTAAAGTGTTGACTGGCTATGGTCCATGGTTGAGAGCTAGAGTTGGGCAAGAAGATCACCGTTTCTTAAATCTTGAAAAAAAGAGGAAAGATCAAAGGGAGAAGAAAACAGAGACTCAGATTCAGTACGAAGAAGCACAAAAAAGAGAAGTAACCTTGATGAAGCCAAGAAATGAGACTCCTTAAACCAGATTGGTAGCTGAGGGCGAAGCTAGAACTGAAACCGGTGAAGCAAAGGAAGATGGAACAGAAATTCAAACAAGCACCAGAACTCTAGTTAGAAGAAGACTGTTTTCTAAAGATCTTGGCAAAGATGGGAAGGCAATCATGGAAGGAGTTCGCTGGAATCTCAACGTCATTCTGTCACCGGCAACCTTTTTCCGGAGAGGAAGCTCGAGTAGAGGTGATGAGGCGTGGAGTAGAAGAAACCTCAATCCCAGCCGAGGAAGTTTTTCCCTTCCAGGATACTTTGCAAGAAACAAGATGGAGCTGAGTCCTGAAATCAACAGAAAAGGAAAGATGTGTCTAACCTTACACGTCTTACCTGATATGGATAGGGAGGAGGATGGTGGCGTAGAGAAGAAAGAAAAGCAGTTTTCCTATTTTGGAGAATTAACAAAAGGGAAACCAGAGGTTTCGTATGAGGCTGGAGATACAGTTTCAGGAGGAGCAGACAACAGAAACATAATAAGAAATAAGGGAGGACGAGATGGGTATGGGCAAGCAGGTTGACCCGACTAAACCGGATCTAAACCCGCATCAAAAAAGGGGGAAAATGCCCTAGCACCTCATCTGTTCGCAAAACCAGTAGAGAAAAGAGGAGCAGACCGCCGAATATGGAAGAAAAAGAAGAAGAAGGAGCAAAGCGCAGAAAGAAAGATCAAGAGGACAAAGAACATGGGCTGGAAGGCATAGAAGGGGAGATCCTCAGCTAGTTCAAGAGGGATATTGACCAGCAAACACCAATGACTACAAACTAGATCTGGACGGCGAACTGTGAACAGGTATGTCGAACCCAGGAAAAAGATAATGTGCTACATTTCTCTTACTATGATGATCAGTCAGTAGATATGTTGAAAATTTCAAATTCACTTTTTGGTACAACAAAGATCTCTCCTAACCAAAACCATATGTATGTTTCAAACGAAAGAAAGAAAATGGAAGGAAAAAATGTAAACAGAAGAAAAAAGGAAAAAAAAAAGATGAACATATCTCAAAAAGAGAAAACAGTTATAAGATGAGCACAGAAAGAAAAGAAATAGGAGAACAACTTTTGAAAAGAAGATGCAGTAATAAGATGAGCATAAGAAGAAAAGGATTAGAAAGAAAAAGTAATCTGTGGAGAATAAATTTAAAGAACTTTTTACAAAGTCAAAACAAGAAGAAAAATGGCAGAAACAATAAATCTGAGAATAGGAGAAATAAAATTAATGGAGCTAGGGATAAAAAAATTTTCCCATCATTGGAAAGAAAATGTAAAATCAAAAATAAGAGAAAAGAACACCAAAAATTTTCAAAAAAATCTTAGGTTTTAACTGCTTAAAAAATGTGAAATTGTTTGGGCTTGCGGGAGTTGACCCAGAACAACTTCCTCTGTGAAAACGAAATTCCTCTGCTGGAAGTACCAGGGAGTGGGTTCCCCTTTGACAGTTCGATCAGCAAAAGAGGCCTAGAGAAAGAATAAAGCTCAAATTATCTTCCTTTGTGAAACTAAATGCAGTCTACTAGATTGTAAGAATCTGTTTAAATGCTGCAAGAATTAGAACTGTTGGGGTGTTGATGCCAGGGGCTTAGCAGGAAATCTAGCTCTATTCTAGGATGAAAGTCTAAATATCCAAGTCTTACCAGCAGATAAAAACCTAATTCACACCAAAATAACTGAAGAAAGCAATAATAAAGAGTGGAACTGTACCTTCATATGTGGAGAGCCTGAAAGGAGTAAAAGAATGCAATTCATTGAAAAAACAAATTACTTAGCTGATAGAACAAGGGGGTCTTGGTGTTGTATTGGTGATTTTAATATGCTATTTAACTTGGATGATAAAGTAGGGGGAAAAGCAATTAGGGTTGGTGAAGTTAGGAGAAACAGAGTTATCATGCATGACTAGGGTTTAGAAGAAACCCTGAGTTCAGGGCCGAAATATACTTGGAATAATAAAAGGGACAAGGAAGCAAATATAAAAGAAAAATTAGACAGGGGACTATGTAACTTAGAGTGAAAAGAAAATTTCCCTGATGCAAAAGTTATTGTCCTTACAAACCATGGTTCTGATCACCTTCCAAATATGCCTAGACACCAACCCAATATCTTTCAAAATCAGGAAGCCATTCAGGTTTGAAGAAATGTGGCTTACTCATTCAAACTGTGCAAAGGTTATTAAGGAAGCTTGGACTGAAAAGCAAAGCAACCAAACTGAGTTCATTGTTCAAAAAAAATGTTGAGATTTAAGTAGGATTCTAAGGAATTGGAACAAAAAAGAATTTGGGAAGGTTCAATGGTGGCTTGAAAGCCTCARAGGAGAGCTTACTATGGAGAGAGAAATGAAAGGGTCAAATTATGACCAAGAAAAGATCAATCAAATTGAAAAGAATTTAGATGAATGGATAAGAAGGGAAGAAATCATGTGGGCTCAGAAAGTTAGGGTAAATTGGATTAACTTTGGTGATAGGAATACAAGGTTTTTCCATAACCAAACAATCAGAAGAAGAGCAAAAAATAGGATTTTAAAGCTAAAAAATGAAATTGGAGAGTGGATTGAGGGACAAGAAAATATAAAAAAAAATCATGGAAAATAATTTCCAACAAATTTATACATCCTCTTGTCCCATAAAAATTGGAATAGCCATGCAAGGAATCCAACCAGTAATAAATGAAGAAACCAATGAAAGCCTTGAAAAGGAGGTATCAGAAGAAGAGATTAAAGAATCCTTGTTCCAAATGGCCCCCAGGAAAGCTTCGGGGCCAGATGGATTCTCAAACYTCTTTTTCTAATATTTTTGGGAGTTAGTGAAGGAGGATGTGGTAAGGGATGTTAGAAGGTTCTTTAGCATAGGTGAGATGAGTAGAAGCCTCAACTCAACCTTTATAGCTCTAATCCCTAAAATAAAAAATCCAGAAAATGCATCCCAATTCAGGCCAATTAGTCTTTTTTTTTTTTGACAATTATTCASGCCAATTAGTCTTTGCAATACTGTTTACAAGATAATTGCAAAAATTTTAGTAAATAGGATGAAACCAATTCTGAAGAATATTATCTTAGAAAACCAAAGTGTCTTCATCCTTGAGGGAGCCATTTCTGACAACATTTTAATTGCTCATGAAGTAATGCATTACATGACTCATACAAAAGGAAAAACTAGCTTCATGGCAATTAAACTGGACATGAGCAAAGCTTATGACAGAGTGGAATGGGAATTCCTGAAACAAACCATGGAGAAAATGGGCTTTGGGGATAAGTTCATTCCTTGGATCATGAGTTGTGTTTCCATAGTTACTTACCAGGTCTTAGTAAATGGCTCCCCTTCAAAGAAAATTTGCCCTCAAAGGGGCTTAAAACAGGGGGGTCTTCTRTCCCCTTACCTCTTTCTCTTGTGCTCAGAAGTCTTCTCATCCATTATTAAACAAAACGTGACCCAAAAAGAATTCTCTGGCATCAAAAGCAAATTTTAAGGAGGCTAGTACTCTATTGGAAGCCATCCCCCTCTTTGAGAGAGCCTYTGGGCAACGGGTGAATTACCAAAAATTTGAAGTTTTCTATAGCAATAACACGCACCCCAAATTGAAAAAGATGGTTTCAAATGTGCTAAAATTTAAAAAAGTGGACAAACCATCTATCTATTTGGGATCTCATCCTCTTGATAGTAGGAAAAAGAATCAGATTTTTGAATATCTTGTTGAGAGGGTCTCAAATAAAGTCAAAGGTTGGGGGGGATCTCTGCTATCTCAAGCAGGAAAAGAAGTCCTTGTAAAATCAGTCTTGACTGCAATCCCAACCTACTACGTGTCTTGCTTCCTACTCTCTAAGAGCATTTGTAGCTCTTTAACAAAAAGCCAAAAATCCTTCTAGTGGGGAGATAAAGAAGATAGGAGAAAAATAAGATGGGTAAACTGGAATCAAATCTGTAAAAACAAATCAAATGGGGGGTTAGGTTTCAGAGATCCTAGTGCTTTTAACATTGCTATGCTTGCCAAACTAGCATGGAGGCTTTGTTCTGATACCACAAGCTTATGGGCAAGAGTTCTAAAAGCAAAATATTATCCTGAGCACCTTTTTGCCCATGCAAAGCTTAGAAGCCAGGCTTCATGGGGGTGGAGGAGCATTTTGGAAGGAAGGAAAATTTTGGAAAAGAGTATCTGTTGGAAAGTGGGTAGTGGCACCAATATTAAAATTTGGGATGATCCATGGATTCCAAACATAAATGGTTTCAAATTAATGGGGCTAATGCAAAAAAAAATAGTGAGAAACTTCGAAGATTTAATTAATCAAGATAATAGAAGCTGGAACATTGAAATGATAAATTCCTGTATTTCCCCTGCATTTGCCCAAAAAATCATAGAAATGGAGATTCCTTCAAACCCATGGGATGATAAATTAATTTGGCTAGGAAGTAAGAATGGAAAATTCTCAGTTAGGTCTGCTTACTTCCTTGCGAAACAAATACAAGAAGAAAATCTAGAAAATAATGAAGAATCAATACAAAATAAAAAAATTTTGGAAACTTGTTTGGGGTCTCTCAATTGAACCAAAAATCAAACATTTCCTTTGGAGATGCTATGTCAATGGACTAGCAGTCAAAGAAAATGTTGCTAAAAGAGGATTAAAAAACTCTAGTACTTGTGAAAGATGTGGAAAAGACTGAGTCAATTCTATATGCTCTGCTCTTGTGTGATAAGCCAAGATGCATTTGGTTGGGCTTGGGCTGTGGCATCAATCCAAACTATGGCCAAAATTTTTCAGTTTTCAAAGATTGGTTAATAAATATATTCCTCCAGCTAGGAAAGACCCGTCAGGACAAATTAGCAGAAATTGCTTTAGTGTTATGGGGAATTTGGAAAGATAGGAATACATATTACTTTGAAAATGAAAATTGAAATCCTCTTGTAGTTATCTCCTTCATTTGTAGGTCAATAGTGGAGAGATATCATTTCTGGCAGCAGAGAGTAGAAGGCACTTCCAAGACTAGACAGATCAAGAAGAACTCTTTTTGGTTACCACCAAGTCAAGGGCTTATGAAAATCAATGTTGATGGTGGTTTTTTGGAGGCAACTCCAAGCTTCCTTTGGCTTCATAATTAGAGACTATCAGAGTTGCTGCTGGGGTGCAGGTTTTGGACCAATTAAGGCTTCATCGCCTCTCAAAGCGGAAGCTCAAGCCCTTCTAGAAGCAATCCTTTTTGCAGATAGGATGAATCTTTCAGACCTCTGTTTTGAATCAGATTGTGATTATCTCGTTAAAATGATCAATGCTACAGAAGGTTATGAAGATCCAGATACCATCTTTTGTTGCAAGGATGTCCAAAAAGTCATATCTAGAAGGAATTACAAGATTCAGTTCTCTCCGAGGAAAGCAAATCAAACAGCTCATGTGGCGGCCAAATGTGGCTATTCAGGGGTCTTTTTAAATCCAGCTCTGCAAGTCCTTTTTGTCTCTCTAATGTAGTAAATATAGACTGGCTTTTTGTAATCGGACTTGTTAGTATGGTGTGCTTGTGTTTTTCTGTTTTTTTCCTTTTACCTTTCTTGTTTCTGTTAACAGTGGAGCCTGTATGTGTATGTGCCTGTCCTTCTTGTTGTTTTCTCTGTATTTTTAATGAAATATTATCAGTTATTCACCCAAAAAAAAAATCAAGGATAGCAATGCCTTTTAATTGTAGCTAAGGGTAGCCCAGATGAAGCATTAATAGGAGGATGCCATCGTAATAACGTTTTGATGAAATGTTCCTCGAGTGATTAAAATAAAATACACCCCATGACTGTCTGCTTTTTCAATGAGTTTGCCCATCAGATATGAATTTCAAAAGCAAAAACAGAGTGCTTTGTGACTTTGTATTTAAAATAAAGGTAAATTATAAAGACCCCCCTGTACTATGGGGTCTGTGACAAAGACCCTTTTCTGTTAGTTTTTTGTTGAAATCKGCTGTTACAATATTTTTTAATTAYTATACTACCCTTGTAATAAAGATAATTAGGAGAAAAACACTGTTCATCTTCCCCAACCTCGTGATACACGAACAGCGGTAGTACCTCAGATTCCTTTACATTTTTCTCTCTCTTTTCTCTCCYGATTTCTCTTCTTCCCCTTCCCCTTTCTCTACTTTCAATAACAGCAGCCCAATTCCAGGACCGTGAGCAAGAAGGCGATTCTCCTACGGCTGAAGTTGAGGTAGTGATCTGCTGTCACCAACTGTTTCTCAGCAGCAAAGTTGACGCCTGGGTCTGAGGTAATGAGGAAATAGCAGTGGGGATGTATGGATTTGCAGCGATCAAAAACGTTGCAGTCCACGACGAYGACCACCAAATCTAAGTTCTCCACAATTTCATTTTCCCTTCAGAGCTAAATTCTTCAAGCTGCGACGCTTTATCACTATCTCCTTTAGCTGTACCAAAGGAGTAAGGACTAAGGAGATGAAGTTCTCTACCTAGTACCCTAGATCTTAGTTATTCTTATATCTTCTTATTTCTTCTATTTCTTATGCATACCACAACTGAAGTTGCTCCTTCCGCGGGTTCTGCACATTCACAGGCTATACGAAATGACTAGGATTAACATTAGACGTTTAACAAAAAATACACGAGGACTAAAATGTGACCGAAATTCAAATAAATTACCAGATTTGATTATTGAAATTTTACAATTATGAAGCAACGATAAAATGGAAGTTCACAAATTAATTCCAGTGTGTAATCACCCTCCTAATCTACGTCATTCAGACTTCCAAGATCTAACCAAAACTGGCGTAGTGGGAATAAAGACAGAAGAATAATCGAACATTTCTCCAGGAAATTGAAAGCAGACAGATCTTAAGCAACCGGGGGCCGGAGAACATGATCTTGTGAGGTATCAACTGCAGCGGGTGGCATGAATTGCCACATTGCAACCCCTGGGTAGGAAGCTTGGTGGAGCACTCAGAGTTTTGACTTGCTGTTCCAGCTTCTCTTTCTGTCTTCAGCCTCTGTTTCTCGTCACGAAGTTCATTCTTCTCAGCCTACCAAATTAAAAAGCAACAATGTGTAACAAAAAACAAAGATGCARTATAATGTCACCCAGTATATTGAAATATCAGCAAATTTAAATTCACCAAACCAAATAAGGTTCAGGAGCYAATAGGAGCCCATAGCCAAATTGCAAATTTGGAAAGTATGGGGTGCTAAACAAAACACATAATGTAATGACAAGAGGTATTGAAATAGCAAATTGAACCCCAGGCTTACCTTCAGCTCTTTGATCTTCTCCAGTAAGCTCTCATTTGATTCCTTCAGCTTCTGGGCTTTACTTCGCAACTGARTAACCATTCGAACAGCATCAGTCAATATAGCAGCCTTGTCCATCTTGGGTGGCCTTCTAGGTTCCAGGATGGTGACAGCAGATCACGGTCCTGGAATTGGCCCTCTAGCCCCAGGCGTCGACTTTGCTGCTGAGAAATGGTTGGTGACAGCAGATCACTACCTCAATTTCAGTTGCAGGAGAATCACCTTCTTGCTCACGGTCCTGGAATTGGGCTGCTGTTGTTTAAAGCAGTCTGGGTGTTAATGAAAGAGGAGAAAGGGAAAGGGGAAGAAGAGAAATYGGGGGAGAGAGAAATGTGAAGGAATCTGAGGTATCATTGCTGTTCGTGTGTATCGTGAAGTTGGGGAAGATGAACAATATTTTTCTTCCAATTGTCCTTGTTACAAGGTAGTATGGGGATTACAAAATATTACAAGGACGAATTTCAACCGAAAGCTAATAGAAGGGAGTCTTTGTCTCACTGTCATAATACAGGGAAGTCTTTCTTGCAAAATAAAGTATAGGGGGGTCTTTTTCACATACCCCATAGTACAAGGGGGTCTTTGTAATTTACCCATAAATAGGAAGGCTATATGAATTTGCATGGTGATGCTATTGCAGCAGGTGTAAAATCTGTTATTGGATGATCAGTTTGGAAAAAGTGCAAATATAAATATACAATACAAATACAGACAAGATAATACAAAATATAAGGTTTTACATTCTAAATATTTGTATTTATACTTCTTCCAAACTGAGCTTAAGGGTTGAAAAATCAGTGTCTGTTTTGATTGGAGGTTGCAATAAAAGACCACATGCTGCTTTTAGAGAGCTCTTCCAGGTACAATTAAGGAATTTCGAAGCAACTTTACCACTATAATATTGAACTACACGATCTGTTCATTTCCTTTTATAAGAAAATAATAAATTAGAGGCCTATAGGGTAATCTTGAGTGTTAATTTATTATGTGATTAATACTTTCTTTTGGTGAAGAATTATGCCTATGAACCAATAATGAGAGAAGGGGTAACTTTCTGCATTAATAACTTATTTTCTACCTCTGCTTCCAAATTTGAATTCTAACTTAGTGTTTGGTACCACTGTTATTTATAAAAAAGAAAAAAAAAAAACGAAATGCTGTCACGTTAACACTACGTATGTTTTGTAATGGAGACTTGCATTCTGTTTGGTTGAACTGTTTAAAATGAAATGGTTTTACTTTCATTTTTTTTGGATAATGTGAAACCATGTTTTGGAAGAAATATCTTTTGCAATGAGATAATGACATGGGATAGGGGTGTTGATGGATTGGATCATGATCTRATCTTATTTTGTTGAATTTGGATCACCCCTGTTTGATTCTTTGGATAATAGAATATGATAAAAAATTGGATCGGATTCAGATCACTCCTATCTGATCCGATATATGTTATAAATAATATAGATATATATATTATTTATTTATTTATAAATATATTATTTATATTGTATTTTTATAAATTTGTTATATTATTATTTTGGGTAAATTACAAAGACCCCTGCACTATGGGATTTGTGACAAAGACTCCCCTGTACTTTGTTTTGCGACAAAGACCTCCCCTATATTATGACCGTGAGACAAAAACCCTCTTCCGTTAGCCTTCCATCCAAAAAAAGCCATTACAATATTTTTTAWTCCTCATACTACCCTTCTAACAAGGACAATTGGAAGAAAAAACACTGTTCATCTTCCCCAACCTCGCGATACACGAACAGCAGCGGCTAATCCCTTCTACCTCAAATTCCTTCACATTTCTTTCTCTCCCCCGATTTCTCTTCTTCCCCTTTCCCTTTCTCTCCTCCCCTTTCTTCTTCCCGCTTTCCTCTCTTTTCCGTTCCTCTCAGCCATAACCGCCACAACTCGTGTGCAGCGTTCGAGGCTCAAAGGTCAGGAAAGTTCCCTTCAAATTGTAGGCTTCGTTGGAGAGGAGACTCTGGGCTTGAAGATGGAAAACTTGCTGATGCAGTTCTCTCTCTCTCTCTGACATTCAGTCACCCAAAAGAAAAGTAATTAATCAGATATTTCAAGGAATTTCTGAATTCAGATTCTCTGTTTGCTTTCAGGTGGATCTTGTTGGGGATTGTTATGATGCAGGAGACAATGTCAAGTATGGTCTCCGCATGGCTTTCACCATTACAACGCTAGCCTGGGGTGCCATCTTTTATCGTGCAGAATTACAAGCAGCTGGGGAATTGCACAATGTAAAAGACGCCATCCACTGGGGAACAGATCGATTAGATTTATGATGAATTGGAACGTTTTGGCTCTTGGTGAAAAAGTGGGAGACCCAGTTAAAGATCACCGGTGTTGGGTGCGACCGGAAAACATGGATTCCCCGAGAATACTTCTAAAGATCGACAGCAACACCCCTGGTACAGAAATTGCAGCTGAGACAGCTGCAGCATTGGCTGCTTCATCCATTGTTTTCAGGAAAACAGATCGTTCGTATTCTCGTAAATTCCTCAACAAGGCAAAAGTGGTAATCCAAGAACTACATTTCATCATGGGGGGATGTTGTTTCTTTTAATTTATATGGTTTAATAACCACTTAATTTATTAATTGGACTTGTTTTATTCTTTATCTTGTTGGTCATTGATGTGCATCTCTTTCTGTTTTCAAAAGCACATAAAGGAACCTTTGATGGAGAGTGCCCATTCTATTGCTCTTATTCTGGCTAAATGTAATCTCTCCCTTTATCTCTCGGTGTCTGTTTCTGTGTGTCTTTCTTTCAACATCAACATAATTGGGTTAAAATGCAGGATGAGCTGCTGTGGGCAGCTTCATGGTTATACATGGCTACCATGAAGCCAGTGTTTTTAGAATACATTCAAGAGGAAACCATCAGTGCAAGTTGCTGAATTCAGGTGGGATCTCAAAGCTCAGCAGTTGTATTTTGGAGGGGAGAAAAGTCTAGAGAACTTCAAGAAGCAGGCCGACAGCTTTGTATGTTCTGTGCTTCCTGAGAGCCCCTATAAGCAGGTCTACTTCACTCCAGGTTTGTCCCTTGCTACCCAGACTATCTTAATCAACACACACCACCGTAATTAATCCACTTGAAGCAGCAGCTAATACTAGTGCATTTGAATTTTCAGGTGGGTTGATTCATTTCAGAGATGGAGCCCACACGCAATATGTTACAGGCACTGCTTTCTTGTTTAGTGTCTACARCGATGTTCTTGCTAAAAGGTGGCATGCGGGAGCAAAGAGTTTGACTGTAAAGATCTCATGACGTTCACCAGGAAACAGGTAATGAGGTTAATCTCTCTTTGGTCTCTCCTCTCTCGAAGTCTCACGCGCTAACATGCCCAACCCGGAT